AGGGCCTTGAGCATGCTAGGCAAGCACTCTACCTCTGAGCTACCTCCCCAGCCCCTCTTGTCACATCTTTCAAAATCAAGATAAGACCAACTTCCAAAACTAGTGGCTTTGCTCTACTTCCTTTGGTGTGGCTCCATTGTTGGAACTGTGAGTGGAGGGACGCAGAAATGTGCTGGAATCTGTGGGTGAACACCCCTCCCCATGCCAAGTCTCAGCAGTGGGACCAAGAAGAAATGCTTGGAGTCTTTTTTAGGTTGTCATAGTGACTGGAGGGAACATGTAGCATTGAGAGCCAGGAGCCAGCAAGCCTAATCTTCTGCACTGTGCACAATAGAGCTGCACAGCCCCACATGCAAAAGAGGTCTATGTGACTGGGGTGCTTTCAAGACTAGCTGCTGGAATACCCAGCCTTATCAGCATGTCACTTAGCACGCTGAGGGTGAAGGAGGAAAGAGTGGGGAAGAAAATCATGTGAGGAATGAGACCATTTATTTAGTCCTAAGTTGGGAAGCGGAACAAGCCAGGTTTGAAGATGGTGGATTAATTTGATGTCTCTTTCAGAGAAGGTATGATCATGAAGCGATCTGGGGGACACAGAATACCGGGTTTGAATTGCTGTGGTCAGGGAAGAGCCTGCTACCGATGGTCCAAAAGGTAGGACTGACGAGTTTTGTGTGTGTGTTTGTATTAAAAAACTGGGTGTTTGGGGAGTATTTATATACTCCTTTATATAAATCCTTTTTAAAGTCATGGCAGAACAAATTTTATTATATTTTAAAATTCAAATTCCAGCATCCATTTCAAAAATCCTATTCAAAATTAGACTAATAGGCAGAATATATAAACTTTATGCCTAAAATCCCAGTGGAGGGGCTGGGAGTGTAGTTCAGTGGTAGAGCATCATGCACCTGGCATGCCTGAGGCCCTGGGTTCAATTGCCAGCACCCCAATACATTTAATTAAAAGGCAAGAAAATCCAATTGATATAAGACTCCAAAACTGGTCCGCCAAAGAAGAGGTATAAATGGTCAAAATAACTATCTGAAAAGAAGCTCGGCCATCTCTAGTCATTAGAGAAATGTACATCCAATCCACAATAAAATACAGTGACTCTAATGAAAAAAAGATGGATCATAATAAATGTCGATGAAGATGTAGAGAAATTGGGACCCTTAAACATGGCTGATGGAAATGTGAAACAGTGCAGTACTTTGCAAAGTTCTTTACGTTGTTAAATGTAGAGTTACCGTATGTCTATGTGCATATTCAAAATATCTATAAGTAATATGGGGACCTACCTCCAACCATATTTATTTAAAACAACACCAACAGAAAATATCATTAAGTTGGGCTTTTACTTTCAGAGCTTTGAAAGGCTGGAAAAAATTATAAGTAAAGGATTACAAGGAAAGATTTCACTGAAGAAAATAGAAACTTTTTTGTTATAAAAAAAACATTTTTACTAAATAAAGAGGGAAATAATACACTGGCAAAAGAATTTGCTTTCAAATAAACTCTCCTGGATAAACTTTCCCAGCCCACTGTGGCCCCATGCGGATTCCTTGTGACCACTTACTGACAGTGCTGTGCTTTGGTAATCCAGGTGCTATATGGTCAGCGGCTATATGGTCACCATGGTGTTGCATGCGGGCTTGGGCGTTAAGCACTGATGATTCTTTGCCCCCAAACTCTGGGCTCCAGAACCCTCCTGCCTGTGTGCAGAGTGAACTGTAAGTTGAAGCAGCTCCCTAGATTGCTCCTGACTCCTATCAGTTCCCCACCCTCAGCTGAGATGATTGTCTGCTGCCCTATGCTGTCTTCCAGAGCTGCCGGGCAGGCTCAGAGCCCGATTGCCCAGGATAAATTGCATGACAACACACCTTGCTGGCTCCCTTCCTGGCTGGTCTGCCTGTCCTACCCTACTGGTGCTTCCTGGTGCCACCTCCCTAATAAGCTACTCTACACATATCCTTAGAGCTCACTTCTCAGGCAAACCAACCTAAGGCAACTACTTAAGGAATGGAAGGCCTTGGTCAGCTTCATGCAGTCACTTATGGAGGGCCTCGTGTATACCAGGTTGTGTTCTCGCTACTGTGGAAACAAGGTGCCACCCTCATGGGGCTCTGTGTGAGGGAAAAGTAGGCAGTGATGACGTCAATGAGCCAAGTAAGTGATTTAAATTTAGTTGGCCATAGAGATAATGGGATAGTGAGGGATTTGGGGATTAGAATGGGTGACTTTAGCTGCTGGAGTCAAGGAAAGGCTCCCGAGGAGTTGAATTTGAGTTATGACCTTTATGAGAAGCAGCAGCCACCAGATAGGGAGGGATTTTGTTATATATATGAAATGTGGGTGGCCCCCCTCCTTTTTTTAACTTTAGATTAAATCATGTTTCAACCAGGACAATCTAAAAAAGATATGATCCTCCCTGGAATGAAATGTGTCATCATTTTAAATTGTGTAAATCTTTCTGTGAAGATTAAAGCCTTGGTTCCATATTAATATTTCCTGAGCCATATTCGAGGGATTTAAAATATCAGACATCATATATGGATGATAAAGAGTAGCTGACAAAATTAGTTTGAGAAGTTTCTCACAGTAGAAGTCTATTGTATTGGTGTCTAAAGCAGGGGAGTTACTTTTAAAGGTGACATTCATTTTTAACTTTTAAATTATTTTCTTAAGTATCCACAGAAAGCATTTGGGATCACTTTTTTTTTTGTACTAGATATTCAACTCAGAGGTTCTTAACCACTGAGCCACATCCCAAGCCCCCCCTTTTTTTAAACATATATTTTATGTAGAGACAGGGTCTCACTGAGTTGCTTAGAGACTCCTAAATTGCTGAGGCTGGCTTTGAACTCATGATCCTCCTGCCTCAGCCTCCCAAGCCATTGGGATTACAGGTGTGTACCGCAGTGCCTGGCTGGATCACTTTCTTAATTATTCTATAGCAACAAACCAAAATAAAGCAAACAAGGCAGTTAAACTTTCAATCAGATCTCAAAATGACCATGTCTCAGGGACAAGGAAAAAAAAAAAAGAGCAACAGAAAAAGCATTTTTTTCCTCCACAGTATGAAACATCTTATCATAGAGCTCATTTATTGAGCAAATTCTCTGTACCTTATAGTAGATTCCATATTAAATTTCTCATCTCAAATTATGTCTCAAGAGATGTATAGATGTTAAAAAATGAATTTAACATTTACACTGGTAGACTGTAAACTATACCAAGAATTAATATTTTAGACAGTGACAAAATTTAAATTGTCTTATTCATTCTCTGGGAACTGTTCACGCAACCACTATTTAGTTAGGATGGTTGCCTTGCCTGAAGACTTCTTGATGTATATTCTTCTATTAAAGAAAAAAAAATCTATTGACAAGAAAGGAAGGAAGAAGGAAGGAAGGAAGAGAAATCAGAGGAGTTTCAATGAAGAACATAATTAAGAACTTTAAATAAAGTCAATTTACCCCATCTGATGACCGTTGAGAATAACTCATCACTGTCAAAACAGAAACCATGGCATTCAGTTTTTAAAATCCAGCTATCAGTGCTCCACAGTTCCATATCTCCAGGCTACCTCAACTTGGAGGAGCAGGGGAGGCACTGCTTATACAGGATGCCACTCACCCACTGGAGTTGAGCAGGGCCCTGGCAAAACACAACCATCTCATTTCTGTTGTTAAACAGGGCTGCATCTATGCAGGGTCTCTGTGAATTAGAGAAAACCGCCCCATTCCTGCAGGAAGATACAGCCTGCACCAGCACCTCTAAGCAGGGCACACTCACACAGTGGCACCTGGTGACCTGTCCCTGCAGGAGTGTTTTGTAGCCCTTGACCCTGGTGGTTATGCCCCAAGCTTGTGCTCTTGAGAGACTTTCTCAGATTTGTTTTTGACTGTTAATGGCTGGAACTTGTGGCATCTGGATGTGAACCACCCCACTGTCATGCCACCCTGCTGTCCCTGGTGTGGAGTTCTGGCTGGAGTTGGCTCGGATGTCAATTAGATACCCTTGACTTTCAGGCAGGCGAAGACACAAGTCTAGGACATTTGATGTTCTCAGATCATCAGCTGTGGTTTCCAAAGCCTGTGACTGCTTCCTGGTCAGCCACATAGCATGCCAATGCCAGACAGCTGGGCCTGTGTCACATGTCTGCACTCTAGCTTGCATCACAAGCCAAACACAAGGAGGAGCTTTCACAAATATGCA